CCGCCCCGTGCAGCCCCCTGCACTCCCCGGCCCCCCTGCCCTGCGGGGAGCCCGGCACCATGCGCCAGCGGACTGTCACGTAAGGCCACCAGCTCGCCCACCTCTCCCGTTGGGGTCCCTCCTTGGGGTTGACCGTCTGTCTGTCCATCCCGCAGGAGGAGCTGCAGCACGGACAAGTCTCCGGGCTCCAGCTTGGTGGGCTCGCCCGCATCCCAACGCAAGGACATCGGTCGCTCCGAATCATTGCGCGTCGTCTCCCGCGCCCATCGCATCTTCCGCCCCTCTGACCTGATCCACGGCGAGGTGCTGGGCAAGGGCTGCTTCGGCCAGGCCATCAAGGTGGGGCTGGGTGGCCACAAATGTCACGAGCGTGAGGGTCTCAGCTCCCCGGGATGGAGGCGGGGGTATTGTCTCCCCCGGGGTGTACCCAGAAGCGGGGGTAGTAGCGGGGAGCTGGTGGCTCAGCCCCCGCGCTCCCTGCCAGGTGACGCATCGGGAGACGGGCGAGGTGATGGTCATGAAGGAGCTGATCCGCTTCGATGAGGAGACGCAGAGGACCTTCCTCAAAGAGGTGAGCGTCCCCTTTCTTTAATCCCCCTGGTCTGGGGAGGGACACGAGGGATGGGGCCGTCCGATCCTGTCCCCCACCCTGACATGGGATGCTGGGCATGACACCTGGAGTGGGGGTGGCCAGGCACCATGGGGTGCAGGCAGCCCTGCCTGTTCAATGGAGAATACACAAGCAGCGGGTCTGTCCGGGTGGGTGCTGAGTGCCTCGGGGTGTCACAGGCACGGGGGGGTCCTGCAGGTGAAGGTGATGCGCTGCCTGGAGCACCCCAACGTGCTGAAGTTCATCGGGGTGCTGTACAAGGAGAAGAGGCTCAACTTCATCACGGAGTACATCAAGGGGGGCACCTTGAGGGGCCTCATCAAGAGCATGGTGAGCACTGGCGGGGTAGGTTGGCCCCCCCCCACCCCACAGCCCCGGTGGGGCTGGGGAAACCCTCTCCTCTCTCCTCTTCTCTGGCAAATCCCCCCTCGTGCCCCCAGGACAGCCACTACCCCTGGGGCCAGAG